TCTTGCCTCCGATTATCTCATGAAGGCTACACAAAACCAGAGGGAAGGAATTAGCCGGGGGCCAACAGATGAACAACACTTAGAAAAATTTCTAAGTCCTGAACGATGGGCCCTCGGCGAAATGTTGAGATAACTAAATAGGCCTAGTAGCCGAGGGCTACAAAAGACACTGTACTTAGAAAGACTAACATGCATACATACAGAAAAGGCGAAGGCATACATACAGAGAAGACGAGGGCATACATTCAAAGGAAAACAATCAAAGGAAACGAGTTATATGCAAAAGCCCGAAGGCAGGTATTCATTCATCAAAAAGAAGGAGAAGTTAAAGTGTGTTGTACAAAATGGCTGAGGCCGGGAGCATACAAGTATTCATTACAACAGAATTGATCAAAATGAGCTAACTACAAATCAACTATTATCAGCCCCAGAGGCAGTCTCTTCCGCAGGCTTTGAAGTGACCTCTATGCCGGCCTCTGCTTCGTCCCCCTCAGCTTCCTTCATTAGCTCTGTGTCTTCCAAGTCTGGCCTCTCGACATCCGGGGGAAGAGGAACGCGGACATCGGGCTGCAGGGGAGGAAGGCCATATGCCGCCGGGTCGAAGTCTTTTGGATCGATCTTCAAGTGACGGGCCATCCTCCGGTAGATGAGGGCTTGAGTGAAAAACTCGCCCCCATCGTAGTACTGTTTGCCCTTTCGGGAAACCCAGTCCACGCCAGGCCCGTCGCACCATTCATCGACGGAGGACTCCACGACCGAGGACAGCCACTGTTTGTGCTCCTCTGCTTTCCACCCCTCGCCAAAAATCCGGAGACGGCGTCCTCTCGGGCCTTCGCGACGGCATCCGCCTTGGCGGCCTCGGCCTCCTTGGTGGCTCTCTCGAGGGCTTCGGCTGCGGACCTCTCAGCATCGGCCTTGCCCCGGTCTGCGGCCTCCGCCCGCAGCGTCATCTGCCGAAGGCTCTCCTCCAGCATAGCCATCTGCCGGATGGCATCAGAGTTCTGGCAAATGAGCTCCCGCATCTTCGTGTCCTACTCAGCTTTGTGCAGACGCCACTCCTCCAGCCTCCGGGCCTGTTCACCGAGGGCAATGCAAGTCTGCAAGTTATAAAGAAGTTAGGAAAGCCGTACAATATATCATAGCACGAAGTAAAACAGTAATCAGGGAAAAACTTACTGTGAGGGAAGACCAGAGGATCTTGTCCTCGAGGGCCAGGTCATCATCAGCCCCGAGGGTGGCTCTGTTAATCTCGGGGGTCATGCCCCTCAGAAGTACCCTCGGGTCCACCGTGCAGTTCATCACGGCTGTTCCTATCGGGAGAGAAACCATCAGAACCTTGGAGGATGGCTCCCGGACACCCCTCGGCACTTCCGCCACCGGCATCTCCACAGGCATCCCGGAGGCGGGGCACTCATCTACGATGACCACGGGAGGATCCTTCTTCCCGGCATCTCCTGTTTTTTGCCTTTTGCCCTCGGGAGCCTTGCCCGCAGCCTTTCTCTTCGCAGCGGCGGCAGCGTCAGCACTTGGGACCGTCGACGGCCCCTCGGGCTTCTTAAAGAAGTCACCGGCGGGTTTAGGGACGCCAGCATCCGTCCCCTTCGGGACCTTGGAGGACTTCTTCTTCTTCAGGTCAGCGAGCCCTCTGACGTTCATCTTGGAGACCGGAATACCTGCAACACAATATGGGGTTAGGCCGACGGGTCATTAACAGATGGCATGAAAGTACAAAGAAAAAAAGACAAACTATGTGCTAAATACGAAAATAATGGTGCTCTCAGCTGCTACCTCCTAAACCCTCGGAGGCTCCATCAAATGTCGGGTACTTTTCATCCGTTTCCCCCAGGAAGCCATACCGCCGGAACCCGAGGGTGTAGAGGTCCTCCTCTTGAGTGCACTCCTTGATGGCTATGTTCTTATCTCGGCCCTCCGGGATCTTGACCAGGATTCTCCCATCCTTCTCGAGGGCGGCGCTTCTCACTTTCTCGTGCCTTCTGAACCGGTCACGCAGTTCCCTCAGGAAGGGGCTCTCGGCTAACTTTATGAAGCACCACCGGTCTTTCCACCCTTTGTTTGAGGAGGGCGCCTCAGTAAACAGCTTGAACAAGGCCACCTGCTGCAAGTTCGCGAAGCCCTCGGCATTCGCATGCCCCCCCGGCACAAATTGAAACTTTGAAAGAACAGGTCCAGGCTAGGCGTTACCCCCCGGGATTTGCAGAGATGGAGAAAGCCCGCGATGTATGAGTGGCTGTTCGGCGTCAGTTGGCAAGGGACCAAACCCACGAACCGAAGGTATTCCCGAAGGAATGGGTGTAGGGGGAACCAGAGCCCCATCGATACGGACAGGATGTGCACTGCAATGCAGCCCTCGGGAGCCCGGGAGAGGACGTCATCAGGACCCGGCGCCACCACTACGGCCGAGGGACCCACATATAACTGGGTGACATAGAGATCCGCCTCATCAGCCTTCGACCTTATCTCTAAGGCGGCGGTATTCAGGTAGGAATACCCCTCGGGCATATCGAGGGGCTTCCCTTGGTCTGCGACGCTGCCTTTTTTCTTGGAAGCAGCACCCTTCGTCTTCTTTTTCCCGGGGGCCACCTGGAGGGGAACCGCGTTCAACGGCCGAGAGGTGCTGACCTCACCAGTGCCGCGAGGGGGGAGAACAGCGATGGTGACCCTCGCGCCTTCTCTCTGCGCCTCTTCCTCAACTACTTGCCAGGCGAGGGCCAGCTCTTCATCCTCGCATTCTTGTTCGAAGCCCTCGTCTTCCACCTCGGCGAAAAGGGCTCTCTGCAGCTCACTGAGGGCTGTTCACTTGTGGACTCCACGTCCGAGACGATTTCCTCCTCCATGGAGGGCGCCCCCGAGATATCTTGAGAGTCGCTCTGTGAAGACATCGTCTGTGCTAGCTCAGGGGTTCAGGGATACTAAGTGCCCTAAGCTGCGATACCTAAGTACAACTCCTAAGACCACTAAACACAGCTAACTAAGAGAGGAGAAGAGTAGGTGGGAACTGACCTTGGAACGGGAGTTAAATCGAGGGCAAGTGTTTCTCTCTCTAGAAAAAATCCGGCAGAGCTTCGCTAACAAATGATCGCACAAAAGAAGTGATGCCCGGCCATGGGGTATTTATAGGCGCATTAATCTGGGCTTGAGCCTGAAAACCGGGCCTCCGGTACAAAATCATCATTGCCAACCGACGTGTTGCCCAATCGGTGACACCCGCCCACGGGCGGCCAACGAGCACGCACCACGTGGAAGCCCCCCCAATGGCTATATTTTGACGTTAGATATTCTAACGGCTATATTTCCAACGGCTATATTCTGGGAGCTCCCAGCTGTATTTAGCAGACCACTCCTTCATCAACCAGGGAACTAGCCCCCGGGCTTTTTACTTCACTCCATTTCATCAAGAGGAGCCCCCGGGTGCACTTACACAGAGATGCTCCCGGTTTATGCCCCTCATACTACATAACAGATGCCTTCGGGCTCACTCCTTCAGAAGCCCACGACTTCATAATTGGCGGACCCCTCGGGGATTCCCCCCTCAACACTTTGAGGACCAGGGTAGCCCCCGGGGAGTACACCTCATTGACAGATAGCCTACGGCACACAGGTAACGGGAACCCTCTGATACCCTCCTCACCAACTCATCAACAAACAGGGGACACCCCCGGTAACACTTCAACTACTACTCACATTCATCACGCCCTCGATCCCCAGATTGAGGGACTCCCCTTCGGCACCTCCAAGAATATCAACAGCAAGCCTCCGGCTAATCAACACACGCACCCTCGGAACAAGGATAGCCTTCGGCTTCAGCATTGTACTCCATTTAAAACCAGGGCTTCACATTTTCGATTCATCGTTGGGGGAATTCGGTGCACTCTTTTTCCCTCATTAGGATTTTTTCTCACAAGGTTTTTCCTAATGAGGTTTTTAACGAGGCATCCCCCCAAAATGAAACGAAAAGCGTCAACATTCGGCCCAATACAGCAACATGATTACTCTACTCCTTTTCACCACTTTGCAAGTGCCTCAAGGAGTGGGGGACTGGAGAAACCCCTCGGGAAAATCACAAAAAGTGCAAAATGCTAAAAAACTCCCGCAAACAGCAAACATGACCCCTCAAGTCCCGACATGTGGGTAACTGAGGGACTGCCCTCGGCAGAATAAACAGACAACAAACCACCCACAACTCCACAAACTACAACGGAACAACGACTGAGGACAAACACAATTACTCCTTTTCCCTCAAGTACCTTTCAGCAAAAGGAGTGAGGGACTCCTAATGGAGTATATGGCCCGGGAACCCCCGGTCCACAGACTCCTACTACTCCAATAACGGCCCAATAGGCTCAGGAAGCACAACGGGCCCAAATCACAGCGCCCAGAGTACCAAGCGGCCCACAGTGTGCACCAGGGGTGCCTTCGGCCCCTGGCCGAAGGCTCCAATTCTCACAGGGTGGCCGGATCAGGAAAACAAAGTTACTGGGAGAAAACGGTGAAAATCAGTAGCCCTCGGCACCTAGAGCCCTCAGCACTAAGGAGGTCCCCGGTACTCAGAGCCCTCGGCTAATCATCTACAGCCGAAGGCACCTTTTCCGACATAATATCCGCTCCACATGCGTATAGATCACCGTACCAAGTACGACGTCACATCCAACAACCGCGTTAAATGCGGCCACATGCGGTTGCCAGCGCCAACCAGTTGAGGTGACCCCTCGGCCAATGGATGCTTGACACGTGTCCCTGTCTGGCATTTATTGCTACTATAAATAGCACCCCATTTCCCCGTTGTAAACCACGCTGAAAAGGCTGAATACATTTTCTAATATACTCTCTCTCTCTACTTACTTACTCTAGTTATTCCCCGTAATAACCCCTCAGATAAGCTACCCCCGGGTATACTATCCATCAATTATATTCGCATATTGAAATTCATAAGACTTGGTTATAGATATAATTCAATAAGTTTTTATAAAAGTACAAAAAAACAAAAAGAGAGTGAATCTCAAGTTATGAAACAGAATTCACGATGCTTAATATTGGAATTCTAATACTCAACAGAATAAGTATGATGCTCATTAAACATTCATTAATGCTCATTTAACAAAAACTACGATTTTCATCTCAATAGATAAGGTCTCATGCTCAATTCAAATGTCATGATGTTCGGCTAACAAACCTTACGATTTTCATATCAATGTGCACTTTGAAAGTTATGTATGCTCATTTGGTACTGATGTTATGCTCATTTTTAAAATTTCATATCAATACATATTTCAAAAGTATCATATTACATTAGATTCGTATATTGGAATTAATATGAGTGGATTATAGATATAATTTAATAAGTTTTATAAAAGAAAAAATAAGAAAAAGAACAAAAAATAGAAGATATAAAGCAGAGATCGTGATACTCATTGTTAGCCTCTTAATGCTCAATAAATTAAGTTGGATGCTCACTAAAAGTACAATATTGTTCATTTAGCGGAAGCCGTTATTTTTCGCCTAAATTACAAAACTGCCACCGAATTTTTTTTGGCCTGTATGATTTATTGGGTTGTCTTCCATAGTTGGGCCGAGTGTACATACATTCGGATGTATGATATAAGAGCCGGGCAAAACCACCCAAGCCTATCAAAGAAAAACCACCAGTCAAGAGAAGATAGCAATGGCAGTGTGCAGGGATAAAGCAAGAAAATAGGTTCAAAATATATGAAGTGCATAAAGAAAAACTCCCAGTATGTATTAAAGTAATAAAAAGTTGTACACATTTAGTACTTGTAAACTTGGTTTTCTCACATAATAGCCCAAGAAGAAAGAAAAAAAATTGAGTTTTGCTAGAGGTACTCCATTTGGTACCCCATTTGTACCCCTTCCTATTATTGTCAAAATAGACACGCTCCATTATTTCACATCTGTTGAAACCGTTTCTCAGAATTCATCTAAAATTAGAAAATATTTAATTACACATCATTTCTGAGTGATAGTTTCAACAGATCTAAAATATTGAACATGTCCATTTTTACTCTTGTATCTTCTTTTTTTCAAATAATAAACTATATTTTAGAGTTTGGAGTAAGATGGAGATTGATGGAGTATATGGGTCTAGGCCCCAGGACCCACATACTCAGAAGAACAGAAAGTACCATGATCACTGGGTGACCTCGTCGGCCATGCCCTCATCGGCCAGGAAAAGATCTATCCAGAATATGATCCAGAAGCTCGGAGAACCGGGTGCCCTCATCGGCCATGCTCTCATCGGCCGGGAAAAGATCTATCCAGAATGTGATCCAGAAGCCCGGAGAACCGGGTGCCCTCATCGGCCATGCTCTCATCGGCCATGCCCTCATCGGCCAGGAAAAGGTCTACTCAGAATATGATCCAGAAGCCCGGAGAACCGGGTGCCCTCATCGGCCATGCTCTCATCGGCCATGCCCTCATCGGCCAGGAAAAGATCTACTCAGAATATGATCCAGAAGCCCGGAGAACCGGGTGCCCTCATCGGCCATGCTCTCATCGGCCATGCCCTCATCGGCCAGAAAGAAGACCACCCAGAATATGATCCAGAAGCCCGGAGAACCGGGTGACCTCGTCGGCCATGCCCTCATCGGCCATGCCCTCGTCATCCACAGATAGCCTCTAGAACAAGATTTTATACTTATCATTTCTATACACTTTGTATCCGGCCCATTAGTGGCCCTGTTGTAAATGGGCCTCCGAAGCCCAAGACTTGGGAGCCCAGCCCTAATTTTCTCTATAAATACTCCCCTTGGGAGTAGTTGTAAGGGTTCACAAAATTCATTCTATTGAAGCATATCTTGCACTTCTCTCTCTAGCTCTCACTTCTCTCTAGACATATACTCTATCATTTGGTGCTCTCGTTGAGAGCTAGAACAATCAAGTTAGCCTCCTCCGTCGCTACCAAGCACAACTAACTGACAATGGGAAGAACTAGGTCAAACCGCAACCTCCTCACAAGGGGTGGTGCCCCAGGACACGTCGTCATCCCACTCCCACCTTGCTTCCCCACTTCGAGCTGGACCGGCCCCAGCGCGTGGAAAAGCCTCAGCCTTTAATAGGCTAGGTGACACGCGTCGTCGGCCTGCTTCGGAGAGGATGGTGGGACGGATTGGTGAACGTGAGCCTGGCTCACCATGGGAAAGCTTGGGGTCCGTATCCCGGACAGCGGATCGGCCCCGCCTGGACAAAGGCAAAGGAAAATTGCAAGAGGACAATGCGCGTCATCGAATCAACATGACTCAAGAAGCTCGCGTGCGCAACCAGCAAGGCGCCACTACGGCCACCAAGGACCCTCGGGACGAGGTCATCGCCCAGCTGGAAAGGAGACTGGCCCAGATGGAGGCTAGACAATCGGCCACCATCCCTACAGCCAACTCATCCGAGGGTCCAGGTTACCACGCGCTCATGCTTAAGGTCAGCGCCCTGGAGAGGGAGCTGGCCGACAGACGTGGTGACCCCATCATCCAAATCAGAACAAAAACTCCCTTCACCACGAGGGTACTCTCGGCCCCAATACCCGAGAAGTACCGAGGGAACGCCATCAAGCCTTATGACGGCCGCTCTGACCCTCAGGAGCACTTCAGCCGCTATCAAAACAACATGCTGATGGTGAACGCATCAGATGAATACCTCTGCCATTGGTTCCTTTCCACTCTTGAAGGGCAAGCGTACGAGTGGTTCAACGCGCTCCCCGAAGGAAGCATAGATTCGTGGCAGGATCATGCCCAACGCTTCCTCACCCACTTCGCCGGAAGGAAGCGCATGAGAAAACATTTCTCCCACCTTCTCTCCATCAAGCAGCAACACGATGAATCACTTCGGTCTTTCATCGATCGATGGAAGAAGGAGATAGACGAGGTCGAAGGTGCCGATGAGCGCACACTCCTCGTCCTCTTCCAAGGCGTTCTCCGCAGCAGCCCCTATGCGAGGAGCCTCATCACTGACCCGCCGAGGTCATACACCAAGGCACTCCAACGAGGGAGCTTGTACGCTGACGCCGATGAGCTCCACTCCCGCAAGAAGGATGTAGGCCATCCATCAAAGAGGTCAGACGAGGCATCGGCTCCAAACGCATCCTCGGTCGGGGGCCATGCCCGCCGAAACCGGAAGGAGCGCCCATGGCAGCTGAGGACGGATGTCCCAAGGACTACGCTCACGCACTCGATAGATACCATCTTCGACTATGCGGAGGAGCAAGGTCTCATCCCTAAAGATCCCCGGTCGGCCACAGAAGTCTACGCCGTCCACCAGGGTGGCACTTATTGTCGTTACCACAAGAACACCTCCCACAATACAGACGACTGCGTCGCGCTGAAGAAAGCCATTGAGCGCTTGATTCAACGGGGTGAACTCCACCAATTTGTCAAAGTTACCCCAAGGAACTCCACCGGCAATCAGGAAGGGGACACCTCAACGAAGAAGCATGAAATTGGGAAGCTCAGCGATGACGAGGACTTCGAGGAGCCCCAACTGAAGAAGCGTCACATCCGCTGACTGCGTCCTTCCTCGAAGGGACGCACGGCCGACGGCTTATCTCTCAAAATACGAAGGGCCCTACATCTAAGTGAAGTTCTACCAGCAATCCGAAGAGGGTGCAGACGGCAGAGCCCCCACCCCAAGGTCAGAAACTCATTGGGAAGCTAACTCTTGTGCGAGTTGTTCAGAAGGTTACCCCCCTCGGCCTCGAGCCACTGACCCTAATAAAAGTCGTTGCCATAAACAACGCACCTATTGTGTTCTGCTTATTTCTTGTAAAGTTTAAGTAAAGGATGCCACACAACAAAGCACGTCGCTTCGGCCCCTTCGAGCGAAACGCTCAGGTATGGCCGACGACGCCACATAAAACAGCACATCGTCCTGGCCCCTTCGAGCGAAACGCTCAGGCATGGCCGACGATGTCCCAGGACGAGGGGCCCGCAAACGGCCCACGTCTTGAAATGGGAAGCTCACTGCGTCGTCTTCGTGCTAAATCGCATTACGACAGGCCTGAAAGAATGGCCGAGGTGACAAAATCCCCACACTTGGGGTTGGGAAACGGCAGCCGTCGGTAACCGACCAAAAGTCTAGCCCGCGCCATAAATAGACGACGGGACCCCCCAAGGTCTAGGGACGCGCCAGTGCCAGAGGCCGGACAGTTGCCCTCCTGGACTCACTATCGGCCGAGGGAATAGCAACCCCCTCGGTCGAGCCTGAAAGAAGGACCCCCACTCCTCGCTCATAGCAATAGAGGAAGAAATAAAAGAGGGACAGCCGAGGACCGTGCACTCGCCGGCCTCGAGCGAAATCCCCACAAATTAAAAGAGGGAGAGCCGAGGACCGCGCACTCGCCGGCCTCGAGCGAAATCCCCACAAATTAAAAGAGGGAGAGCCGAGGACCGCGCACTCGCCGGCCTCGAGCGAAATCCCCACAAATCAAAAGAGGGAAGCCAAGGACCGAGCACTCGCCGGCCTCGAGCAATAAAAATGAAATCCCCACAAATCAAGCCACATATTTGGCTAAGTACATATCAGGCAAATACTATGCATTATGGACGAACCAAGATCATGACGAGCGCTCGATGTCATCCTTCATTATAGGTACGGCTTAGCCATCCTCATTATAGGACCGGCTCCGCCCCCTTCAACTTCATACGAGGAGCGGCCTCATCAGCGCCGTCGTCCTCAGATCACGGCAGACCCCCCCGGTCTCAGCGTGATCCTTCATCTCAAGACCGGCCTCCTCAGCGCCGAACGTCTTGAGCTTGCGAGCGGGCTCGCCATTCCCTTCCTGGATGGCGACCCTCGCTTTCATACGAGGAGCGGATTCATCACCGCCGTCGTCCTCAGATCACGACAGACCCCCCGGTCTCAACGTGATCCTTCATCTCAAGACCGGCCTCCTCAGCGCCGAGCGTCTTGAGCTTGCGAACGGGCTCGCCATTCCCTTCCTGGATGGCGACCCTCGCCTTCATACGAGGAGCGGCTTCATCAGCGCCGTCGTCCTCAGATCACGGCAGACCCCCCTGGTCTCAACGTGATCCTTCATCTCAAGACCGGCCTCCTCAGCGCCGAGCGTCTTGAGCTTGCGAGCGGGCTCACCATTCCCCTCCTGGATGGCGACCCTCGCCTTCGCGACTTCATCAGCGCCGTCGTCCTCAGGTCACGGCAGACCCCCCCGGTCTCAACGTGATCCTTCATCTCAAGACCGACCTCCTCAGCGCCGAGCGTCTTGAGCTTGCGAGCGGACTCGCCATTCCCTTCCTGGATGGAGACCCTCGCCCTCATACGAGGAGCGGCTTCATCAGCGCCGTCGTCCTCAGATCACGGCAGACCCCCAGGTCTCAACGTGATCCTTCATCTCAAGACCGGCCTCCTCAGCACCGAGCGTCTTGAGCTTGCGAGCGGGCTCGCCATTCCCTTCCTGGATGGCGACCCTCGCCTTCATACGAGGAGCGGCTTCATCAGCGCCGTCGTCCTCAGGTCACGGCAGACCCCCCCGGTCTCAACGTGATCCTTCATCTCAAGACCGGCCTCCTCAGCGCCGAGCGTCTTGAGCTTGCGAGCGGGCTCGCCATTCCCTTCCTGGATGGCGACCCTCGCCTTCATACGAGGAGCGGCTTCATCAGCGCCGTCGTCCTCAGGTCACGGCAGACCCCCCCGGTCTCAACGTGATCCTTCATCTCAAGACCGGCCTCCTCAGCGCCGAGCGTCTAGAGCTTGCGAGCGGGCTCGCCATTCCCTTCCTGGATGGCGACCCTCGCCTTCATACGAGGAGCGGCTTCATCAGCGCCGTCGTCCTCAGATCACGGCAGACCCCCCGGTCTCAACGTGATCCTTCATCTCAAGACCGGCCTCCTCAGCGCCGAGCGTCTTGAGCTTGCGAGCGGGCTCTCCATTCCCTTCATGGATGGCGACCCTCGCCTTCATATGAGGAGCGGCTTCATCGGCGCCGTCGTCCTCAAATCACGGCAGACCCCCCGGTCTCAACGTGATCCTTCATCTCAAGACTGGCCTCCTCAGCGCCGAGCATCTTGAGCTTGCGAGCGGGCTCGTCATTCCCTTCCTGGATGGCGACCCTCGCCTTCATACGAGGAGCGGCTTCATCAGCACCGTCGTCCTGTGATCACGGTAGACCCCCCCGGTCTCAACGTGATCCTTCATCTCAAGACCGGCCTCCTCAGCGCCGAGCGTCTTGAGCTTGCGAGCGGGCTCGCCATTCCCTTCCTGGATGGCGACCCTCGCCTTCATACGAGGAGCGGTTTCATCAGCGCCGTCGTCCTCAGATCACGGCAGACCCCCCGGTCTCAACGTGATCCTTCATCTCAAGACCGGCCTCCTCAGCGCCGAGCGTCTTGAGCTAGCGAGCGGGCTCGCCATTCCCTTCCTGGATGGCGACCCTCGCCTTCATATGAGGAGTGGCTTCATCGGCGCCGTCGTCCTCAAATCACGGCAGACCCCCCGGTCTCAACGTGATCCTTCATCTCAAGAACGGCCTCCTCAGCGCCAGGCGTCTTGAACTAGCGAGCGGGCTCGCCATTCCCTTCCTGGATGGTGACCCTCGCCTTCATACGAGGAGCGGCTTCATCAGCGTCGTCGTCCTCAGATCACGGCAGACCCCCCGGTCTCAACGTGATCCTTCATCTCAAAACCGGCCTCCTCAACGCCGAACGTCTTGGGCCAGCGAGCGGGCTCGCCATTCCCTTCTTGGATGGCGACCCTCATCCTCAAAATGAATGGCCCCTCGGCCTCAACGTGATTATCTATCTCAACGCCGGTATCCTCAGCACCGAGAGCCTTGAGTTTACATGACGAACGACTTCATCAAATGCCTTCGTCATCATTTATTTGGACCGGCTTCATCAGCACCGTCGTCCTCAAATCATGCCCGACCCCTCGGCCAAGGCGTGATCATCTATCTCAAGACCGGCTTCCTCAGCGCCGAGAGTCTTGAGCCAGCGATCGGGCTCACCATCCCTTCCTGGATGGTGACCATCGCCACTACATGACGCACGGCTTCACCAACGCCTCATCATCATTTACTTGGATCGGCTTCATCATAGCCGTCATCCTCAAGTCACGCCTGGTCCCTCGGCCTTGGCGTGATCATCTATTTCAAGACCGGTCTTAGCCATTCCTTTATCGGATGGCGACCGTTGCATGGATTGAAGGAACGGCTCCTCATCGCCGTCGTCTTCACATCACGACCAGCCCCTCGGCCATGGTGTGACGCTCTATCTTAAGACCGGTCTTAGCCATTCCTTTACCGGATGGCGACCATTGCATGGATTTCGGACCGGCCCCCAGTGCCGTCGTCCTCATATCTCGAGACCGGCTCCCAACGCCGAGGTACTGTTATAGCGACCGGGCTCGCAATTCCCTTCCTGGACAGCGACCGTCGCCTTCATATGACGCATGGATTATTACCATTGTCGTCCTCACATTCAGACAGGCATCCATCGCCTCGTCCTCATATTCGGACCGGCTCATCAGCACCGTCGTCCTCACCTCCAGGCGGGCGTCCCCTCATCAGACGGACACCGCTTCAGCTCCACACCTAGGCCGAAGGGTTCACCCCTTGGAGTTCATTTTGGGGATCCGGTGTGCTCTTTTTCCCTCATTAGGATTTTTTCGCACATGGTTTTTCCTAATGAGGGTTTTAACGAGGCATCGCCCCATTGTGGATAAAAAGGTGTCGACCCTCAGCCCCCTATTGAAGACGTGTATTGCTCTACTCCTCTTCACCTCACTACATGAGCCTCGAGGAGTGGGGGACTGGGGGACTACATCGGCCTCCACATACATGAAATCATCTAGAAAGCAACAAAAAGCAAGGACTACCAAGTGGTACCTCCGTCGGCCATGTCTTCATCGGTCAGAAGAAGGTCTGGGGGACTACATCGGCGTCCAGCGTAAAGAAACAAATTCAAAATCCAACGAACACAAGCCCATGACAATGGCACCTCAACGTCCAAGAACCATGTGTTCACCCTTCGGCCAGGACGAAGCGCAAAGCAGGACACACATCATCCTCAGGATTAAGGGCACATCATCCTTGGAGCCAAGGACACTCCTCAAGGCCAATGGCACACATCGTCTTAAAGACAATGACAAGAACACCACAAACGTCCACCTTCGGCCAGAGCGCAAGGCAGGACGCATATCATCCTCCAAGCCAAGGACACTCGTCGTCCTCAAGATGAAGGACATTCGTCGTCCTTGAAACGAAGGGCGCTCGTCGCCCTCAAAGTGAAGGACGCTCATCGTCCTCAAGGTGAAGGACACCCATCGTCCTCAAGATGAAGGACATCCGTCGTCCTCGAAACGAAGGGCGCTCATCGTCCTCAAGGTGAAGGACACTCATCATCCTCGAAACAAAGGACACCCATCGTCCTCAAACAAGAGATAACTACAATGGCCTCATCAGCCCGAAAGGGAAGTTCAAACCATCAACGACCAAGGATAGACACTACCTTCGTCGGCCACTCATGCCGGAACACTAATCGTCCGCAAACAAGCGCATCAAAGGAGTAACAGCCTTCCTCGTCCACATCAAGGAACGGGTAACGGCCAAACTCAGAACAGGGCCACCAAACGCCACGACAGGGAACGACCAACGTGGTCCCGCATCAGCCAAGAGCATCAAGCACAGAAATCTACTCTCCTTCACTTCGTCTACATCTCAGCTTAGAGAGTGGGGGACTCCTGATGGAGTATATGGGTCTAGGCCCCAGGACCCACATACTCAGAAGAACAGAAGGTACCATGATCACTGGGTGACCTCGTCGGCCATGCCCTCATCGACCATGCCCTCATCGGCCAGGAAAAGATCTATCCAGAATGTGATCCAAAAGCTCGGAGAACCGGGTGCCCTCATCGGCCATGCTCTCATCGGCCATGCCCTCATCGGCCGGGAAAAGATCTATCCAGAATGTGATCCAGAAGCCCGGAGAACCGGGTGCCCTCATCGGCCATGCTTT